TTAAAGAGTGTGTAACACCCATCTACCGAATCAATCAGCCCTGGCAGTAGAAGTTGTCGCAGCCCACGACCTTCGCTCGGTCATCGAGGGAACGTCGACGCTGCAGCAAACGGGTGGGTGTGGTCTTGCCACAACGCCTGCACCTAGCCTAGGAGGAGCATGTCCCGGTGCAGATCTTGACGGTCGTAGCAATTATTCAAAAAAAACTTCGGACCAAGTGGGGAGGTGTTCGACGGGAACGGCTGTTGGGACACCCCTGCCGCACAGCCAAAATTGCGACAGCATCCCACCGGTGCCCCACTTCCCCCGCCAAACATAGTTCACCATCTTGCGGGGCCCAACGAGCATGCTCACACTCGGACCTCTCCCGATAGATGGTGGGGGCGGATGATCCACCGACAGCGACCCCCGCCACCCTCGGGCTGCAGCCGTAGAGGCCCGCTTGGAATGTTCTCCGATTCCCTTTTACTTTAGGCTATCAACGCTCTCCAAAAGGAACGTAAGGGAAGCCACAACCACGGACCCCACCACTACGGCTTCCTCCCGCGTCGTGGGCCAAGCACTCACAGGCCTTCATGAGGGTTGACCTCCTCGGTCCATGTTCCCACGCAGTCAGGATTATGTCAACGCCTCGGTCGCGCCGGAGTCTCGATGGGGGTGCACAAGGTCTTTAACTGTTGTTTCGGCCACTGTGCCCAGTGTCGGCCTCCGAACCGATTACCGAGGTCAAAACCTTAGACCGCAATAAAAACAAATAACTAACTAAATAAAAATAAGAATAAACGTTGTGCGTCCCTCTGGCCCGTGACGCCGAGCATACTCAGGTAGCGCATGGTTGCGCCTCGCCGTCAATATCCAGTGCGCGCCGCTCACCCAGACGAGGATCTAAGCTTTCTCTAGCGCGCGCGCCATCACACTAGCGAGGCTGCACTGGTGTAACTTGCAGAAAACACGCCAAATGCCCTTGCAAGGGTATTTGGTACGATAACGGGGCACATCTTGCCTTCCCTAAGGGGTGTATCCCTACCGAGCTACTGATCCAAGCTCGAAAGCTTTTAGATGCAGTTGCAGAGGTAGGTCAGCCAAGGGCGTTTGGTTGTTCGTTGTAGTATAGGTACGCCTGGTTAACGCCAAGTGGACCCGAACGTCGTTCGTTCCTTAGGGCGCTGTTCTCCTAACAACGAAGCATACGCCAGTCGACCAGGACAGTCTAAACCAAGCGTGAAACCCAAATTTATCCTAGTCCCTTTAGACATCAGTCAAAAAAAAACTATAACAACCACTCATAATTTCATCGAAAAAAATCGGCCGTAGTCAACAGAAATACATCCAATATGAACTAATAACTAGAAGAATTTAAATCATCATATAGTGCATCCAATAACACAAGATCGAAATAAAATCCGACCATCTCGGGTCAAGTTTCACGAAAAGAATCATACAGTCGCCAACGAGAAGTTGGTTTCGACAATAACCACGATGCAACCGACAAGGTAGTCGAACTGCCTCAGTTTTGACTTGATGAGCCGCTGTCGAGCGCATCGGCTCCGCAGGGGGACCCTCCCGATCGTGTCACGCAGGACTTTGCAGGACTTCGTCGTAGAGCGCATTTTGCCGCTCCGGCCGAGTACGCCAGGCATACCTCTCGCGAACCCCTAGGACAGGATAGGATTACGGAAGGTACAACTTACCTCCACCCGGAGGAGCTGTCACCATCCCTTGGGTGGGCGTCTCTCTGCCGAGCTACGACACCACGTGTTAAAGTTTTTCATATGTAATCGCAGAAGTGACCGAGGGCATTTGTCGTTCATTGTCGCATAGAGGGCTCGCACGGCCAACGCCCGTCAATCGAACCCGCACGCGAATCGACGCATTTAGGGGGCTGCGGTCCCAAACACAACTCGTCGTCGGTCGACCGGGACACATTCCACTCACCACGCGTTACATCATACAAAAATTAAAATATACACAAAAACAAAACTCTCTTAGTCCCTTCAATATCAAACCCATAACCTTTTAACACGAAAATCAGTTAGGTGTCGCGCTTGAGACTCAAGATAAAACCGCACGGACACTAGGGTTTTCTCATATCGACTAGCAATGCAAGTATACGCACGTAGTCCCGTCGATGGAGTACTATGCTGTACCCATAATCATGCAATCCATGATAGGCTCGAGGGTGACGTTCGACACTCAGGTGTCGGCTGACATGCGCCTTGAGGGGTTAATCTCTCGACGTTAGACAACTGCCAAGACGGTTGATTCTCCACACCCTCTTCTGCATCCTGCGGAGAGTGGGTAGTGCATAGGTTCAAACCTGTGGTGGCAATCAGCTCTCGCAGCCTTGGAGACAAGCTCCATCATCCAGGGCCTGCAGAGAAATCAAGGGGTTTGATTTTGACGACTGTCACGAACTATAACTTCCAACCATAATAATTCTAAAAAGTAAGAGGAAAAGGGGGGTCTCCCTTTTCTCTCTAGGCATAGTCTGTTTAACTCTCACGCATGGTCGCAACAAATTGTGCGGGTACTCAAGGTATATATATATATATATATATATATGATATATATATATATATATATATATATATATATATATATATATTACCGGGCAGTTCTATTTGACGATATATATATATATACGAGGGGTTGTGAAATACGAGACTATCACTTCTCATAACCACTGCACGGTTCCTTTCAGCCATTATAGTTATGCTAAGCAAGGGTAGTTCAAACAGTCAAGCAGACGATCACTCTCACAATAGTTATGTGGCTAGTCCATCCACATTCACACAATACTCAGACTATCACCAAGCTCAATTCAAAGATCTTATAAGCTGTGTGTCTGAAACTGGATTTAACGCGGGCTCCACGTTAAATAATTTAACGCGCGTTAAATTCGCGTTTAAATCCCATTCAATTTCGCGTTGGACACAAATTAACAGGGTCCACGAACCGGGTTTTCGCGCCTTTGGGGGGGGGGGGGGGGGGGGGGGGGGGGGGGGGGGGGGGGTCTGAAGGTGTGGGGTGACGGGGACCCTTGTCGGGTACCGCGTCATTCATTCAATTTTTATTTTTATTTTTTTTTGGGAAAAAAAAAAAAGAACCGCGTGATATCGGCCCGACGTCAAGCAGGGCTTCCGCGGGGTATCGGGGTTGGACGGCCTGGTGGGAGAACGGCTACATAAAAAGGCCGTTCAGTTCGGCCGCACCTCATTTGCCGTGTGAGCCCGAACGCGTCAACGCGACAAACGCGTTCCCCCTGCGTCCAACGCAAGGGTGCGAGCGAGCGAGAGAGAGAGAGAGAGAGAGAGAGAGAGAGAGAGAGAGAGAGAGAGAGAGACAAGATTGGCTTACCACGTACCTGCGTTGAAGACATCGCCATGGCGCGCGCGCGCGAGAGAGAGAGAGAGAGAGGTTGAGCAATACAAGATTGGCTTACCACGTACCTGCATTAAAGACATCGCTACGACACGCGCGCGCGCGCGCGCGCGAGAGAGAGAGAGAGAGAGAGAGAGAGAGAGAGAGAGAGAGAGAAAGAGAGAGAGTATCAGCGGGAGCGGCGGCTGGAGCGGAGACAAAGTGTGCACCGTGGCGGGAGCGACTGCTGCAGCGGCGGGGACGACGACGGCGGTTCCGCACTTCGGCGCGTGGAGCGAATTCACGCCGTTGAACTTTAACTTTTAGTTCAACGGCGTTAAACGCATTTGTTCACGTTAAACGCGTTAAACGTGATTTAACGGGATTTAACGGGATTTAACACGGCCGTTCGTGGGCCTGTTCGTGTCGGGCGGCGGGGTCGGGAGGGCATTTGGGAGGGGTTGCGGTGGAAGCAGGGGGGGTTTGGGGCGGGCACGATAGGTGCAGGTGCCGGGGAAGGGGAAGGTTGTGTACGGAGGGTTTCTACGGTTCATTTCGAAAGGTCGACAGGTCTTCGGGTCGAAGGTTCAGAGCGGCGAACGGGACACTCGCAATGGGGAGGGCACAGCGTAGCGAGCATGAGCCCGCTTCTCAAGATGTGCAGGACACGTTCAGGGTAAGGTCCCCTGTGTATCGGTACCTTGTCGTCGGCCAGAAGGTCGACAACAAGGGGGTGATGATGCTGCGTTGCACATTTTGAAACAAAGTATTATAGGGGACTTTATTCCAGGCAACCAGACACTTCGTGTAGACCAATTACTGCAAGGCCATCACTGATGAGGCCTTGTACGAGATCGAAAAACGGACTCAACTGAAGTTCGAGGCCGACGAGATAAAGAGGATTTTCAGTTTTGCAGCGGAGCGTGGACTTGATGTGCCCCGGGCCAGTGCAGCGACGGGAGGAGAGGCGGTGCAACGGCCGCGGG